GGTCGAAGGCGCATGTATGGCAACAGAATGGCACTGGACGGATTCACCAGCCTACCATCCAAAATTCTACGACCAACCTGGTCCAAAACTCTTGAACAACTCCTCCCTCAAGAGCCTGGTAGTGAAGCCCATCTCCAGCATCTTGACAGCCTGTAGGATATCAAATTAGTTTAAATCACTACCGCCTTATCCAGCCGCTACGCCTTCGCGACCCAATGTGTAGCACAGTGGCCGTGGCTTCTGTCGCCATTACCACTATAAACTTAATCTACTGAACTAGGCCAATAGAGAATCAGCTCCCACACAACTGATAACCACCGAGAAACCACTCCATAATGACAGCGCAGTGTTCTTCGTTAAAGCCTATCGGCTAAGCCGACGTTCTTGATGAGCATAGTGCGGATTTCGCTCATGTCCTCCATAGCATACTTAACACCTTCACGACCAGTGCCGGAGTCCTTAACCCCGCCATACCTGATTATAACGAAGAACGTCGCTTTCACTGCGAAGTACCAGCCCAGAGTTCGCCGAACGGCTTAGTCACCATGACTAAGTCACGTAACGCGTGGATCCACTGTACCGAGCCGTCCCACAACTAAATCGAAATCTACTTACGGCATAGAATCGACCCTGATACTCGGGACGTCGTTCACAACCAACCCGCCCGACTCCAGGTTGTTCCAGGCGTAAAAAGCTCTATTTAAATCGTTGGTGAAAAGACCAACGTGGATGCCATACCTATAACATTGGTATAATACCAACCACCACCCCGGAGCCACTAGTATGTTCCCTTACTTGGAATCATTGGCCCTCTCCACAACCTCCTCAAAATTATCAAAGCTGGCAACACACAAGAGTGGCCCGAATGCCTCCTCCCGCCAAGCGTCAGTCTCGACAGGCACGTCGGCCAGCAGCGTAGGCTCGAACATAGATCCATTTCGGCCTCCGCCGCACAGAAGAGTGGAACCCGCCCTTATCGCGCCCTCGACAACACTCTCTAGCCTGCTAGCCTCTCTCTCTGCTATCATAGGGCCTATGAATGTATTCTCGTCCTTCGGATCACCCATACGCAAGGACTTCACCTTTGCGACTAGAGCATTCACTACCTGACTCAGAGAAATACCGATCATCTCCTCCGGCGGTAGCCTCCCCCACCTTATCGTATATGTCCTTTCGAACATAAAGCCTCTGTGTAGATATACAACTCTGTCCACTTTGATAGAAGGCCCCAAAAGCTATGCGATCCATGAGGTACGCTAGCCCTTCATGTGGTATACAGTCTACTATACCAGCAGCATTACCGCCAAGCTCAAGCACTACCCCTTTCTTGCCAGCCTAACACAGAGAGCACGCCTGTCCAAGGCTAAACACAGAAAACTACCCTCGACTTCATATCCCATCCAACACTTGGACTGCCAGTAAACGAGAGCAACTTGAATCGGTCGTCAGTCGTAAGAGGGTCTCCATCTAGAGGGCATCACCATCTCCCAAGTTCGCTGCATCTCACACTACTACTACCTTGCCTCGAGCAGGGTATTATAGAGAAGGCCTCTTTGGGAAGGTCCGAGCACTCAGCAAGAACCTCGCCTATTATCAATGAGCCCAACGGAGTGGCACTGGCCGGCTTCAGTACAAATGGACACCCAACAGCAATCGCAGGAGCTATCTTATGAGCGGCGAGGTTGAGAGGGAAATTAAATGGCGTAATCATGGACACGGCGCCTTTGGGAACCCGCTTATAGATTTGCTGGAGGCCTCGATATCTCTCTGAGATCTCCATGCTACTCCACTCGCCGTGAATGCGAGTCGCCTCCTCAGCGGCAACGCTGAAGGTGTCGATGAGGCGCAAAACCTGCTCGAAAAGTGAGTGCCTGAATCCACGAGGTATCCTTTCCGAGTGAAGGACTAGGTTCTACCACAACACTCTCAATGGATTACGACTATTCAAATGGGCAGATCAAAAGCTGTCAATCGAAAGGGCCTTGGATCAAACTGTTCACTGTTGTTGCTCTATCGCCATCGAGTACCATAGTAACAACCTCAATAATATACCTCACGAACACGGGAATCAAGTGGAGATCCCCTTCCCACCACTTCTCACCTCCAGGCGAGAATCCATAATAGGTTTACCAGCCTCCACACACAGACAGTAGGCCAGCTCCTCAGCTCTGTCTCGGAACCTATCCTCATTGTCCACCTCTCCGCATCATCCACAATTCCAACACTCCCACCTTTCCACGCAATGCTGGAGGATTCTCTTTCGTTGAAATGCCGGGAGCGCAGCCATCGTCTTCTCAGCTCCATGAGCCGCAGCTATAGCTCGTTCTACTTCCGGAGGCTTGGCCAAGGCCACGCGACACACCGCAGCGCCACTATACTTATCGGTAACCTCGAGGTCGGTATTAGAGTATCTAAGACCAGTGGCTCAGATGACCCACAACCATCTGCAATCACACTGCTTCCCCAGCGAGATAGTAGGGCCACGCTGGAGCTATCTTCCGTGAACAGAACATACGAACGGCCGACCATGGAGCCTTCCGACCACCCAGAGCTGGTACAACCCTCTGCATGGAGAACTGTGAAGGCAACTGAACAGCGGACACAACTTGTAGGTAGACAATACTACCACGCCCTCATTTCAACTAACCACCACTTCCCAAATGTGAGGGAGCTGCCTCTGAGACTGAGGAGGGCCCTGACAACGCAATTCTGGTTCAAGGCACCTCTGAGCAAACACTCATATGAGCCGTACAGCAGCGAAGAAACTCTCAGCAATCCGAAGGCTCAGTTCACTAACACACATCCGAGTTTCGGATGAGTGAGAGCAGAGCCCTGTCGGTCTAGGAGCAAGTCCAAGAGGACCCGTTCTGCTGCAGAACTTCTGCAACATGGAGAGGAAGTTGAGAGAGGAGGCGTGGATCAGCAGCTCTGAAGTCACGACCGCCCTGGAAACAAGTTACTGGGAGAAGACAATGGTATCGCTCCTGGATCAGCCAGGGTCTGGCTGCTAGACATTTAACCGCACAGTGTCCACCAGTAACTAAACTGTTTAGTTTGTCAAGGTCCTAAGCTCCAAGCTCAGCTCAATGAAGATCCATCGCTCACAAGTTGCGATCACGGTCAGGGCAACGGACATCGAGTGTGGAGGATCATCTAGGTGACCAGAAAAAACGAGGTAGACCCGTAAAAACCTGCAGGTTGAGCTTACGACTCGTGAGTAACGAGAGCTGGAAACCGCTCGTTGTCGAGGTACGGCGGAATGGAAGTCAGGCGTTGGGCGTTCAGTGGAGTGAAGTGGCATGCGCATGTACCTTCAAACACTGAGCAGCTTCGTCATTCCTCATCCGCTCCACCCAACAGAAAAATCAACGAACTGACTGCTGACCCTAACCCTGACATCTTCACGTCGAAGATATCTTTATCGAGATCTCCAAGGTTAGAGCCCCCCTAGTAGTCTCTTCGGTAGTTGACACCTACTAGATGTATCTCCGATGGTAGTCGTCCCAGTAGTAGTCTCGCCGTCAGCAACCACCGCACAGCGGTGACCGCTGATGCCGCCGTCCCTAGAGGTCCTGAAGGCATCATCAGCTGGTGCCCAGCATCAGCGTGAAAGCTTCGACTACTCGCCCCTCATGGTCAGACCACTGGCTTGGGAGTCCCAAGTTGGGCCTAGAATAGTAATGTACGGTTTGTGGCCCGCTGTGTCCCACTTCGAGGCTCTCCTGGGCCCAAAAGGACCGGAAAAAATTGAATTGAATGCGAAAAATTCGTTCTTCAATTCGCGATACAGCGTTTGTCGACCGCGTTCGTTTTTCGCACCTGTCTCCGGCATCTCCCACAAGAGATCCTCCAAATTAGTATTGCGGAGACTTCTCGGTGATGAAACTCGGGCTAAACCGAGACCACGATTTGTCTCAGATCCGCTCCGTGAGCTGAGCTTCATTCTCACCCAACGTTAGGGCAGATTCAACCCTACACTCGTGTTGCTATCTTCCTAGGAGAGAGGGACGGGGAGACCTCTGGCGACCTATGTCAAAGGTCTCCCGTACTGGCACCTCCACTGGAGGTCCTCCAGTACCCCCTAGGAAGGTAGTTATATCCGTGGTGAGGGAGGGTGGGTGGGTGTCGACTTGTCTCGACTCGCTGCCCGGCTCCCTCTTCCCTCCTATAGCTATCCTCCCCCCTTCCTGCACTTTGCACAACATCTCCGTTCGGTTTGAACTAGCTCAACTAGTTGAGCTTCCTTCAACCCTACACTCGTGTTGCTATCTTCCTAGGAGAGAGGGACGGGGAGACCTCTGGCGCCCTATGTCAAAGGTCTCCCGTACTGGCACCTCCCAACCGTCCCTCTCCCATCCCTGGAGGGCAGATGTAAAGCACCTACGTTCTCGGAAGACGGTTCTCCTCCAAAAAGTCCGCAGTTTCACCAAATCGCTGCGTCGCGACTTAATGTATAGCAAGGTGGGTGTAGCAGCTACACTGTAGCTTCTGTCGCCACTGTCACTATGAACTAGACCTGCCGGATCAGACCCGTAGAACAATCACCTCCTCCACAACTGAAAGAAATCGGGAAACGCCTCCATAATTGTTGGAATTGCGCTCCCCGACTGCAGAACTCAATGCCATGATGGTCCGAGACTATTGGTCTCAATGAGGTGAAAAACTCCAACTCTCGCTATATATCCTATTACTAGTCGTAACGAGATCAACTATCTGTCACGCTATATGCATGAACAAAAACAGAAAAGTGGATGAAGCGGGAGAAAAGCAACGCACTGTGTGCGCGGCGGTGTAAATCTGAAAGCGAGATGCTCCGAGCACCCTCAAAGCTTTAAAGAGATTCTCTGAAAATAATGACCGCCCAATGTTTTTCGTTAAAGCCTGTCGGCTAAGCCGACGTTCTTGATGAGCATAGTGCGGATTTCGCTCATGTCCTCCATAGCATACTTAACACCTTCACGACCAATGCCGGAGTCCTTTACCCCGCCGCACCTGATTATAACGGCTTACCACGAAGTGCAGCCTGGTAACGGTCTAAAGCCATCGGCTTAGTCACGTACCGCAAGAAACCGCTGTACTTAGCTGTACCACAACTATAGCGTAGTCTACTTACGGCATTGAATCGACCCTGAGACTCGGGACGTCGTTCACAACCAACCCGCCCGCCTCCAGGTTGTTCCAGGCGTAGAAAGCTTTATTCAAATCGTTGGTGAAAAGACCAACGTGGATGCCATACCTATAACATTGGTATAATACCAACCACCACCCCGGAGCCACTAGTATGTTCCCTTACTTGGAATCATTGGCCCTCTCCACAACCTCCTCAAAATTATCAAAGCTGGCAACACACAAGAGTGGCCCGAATGCCTCCTCCCGCCAAGCGTCAGTCTCGACAGGCACGTCGGCCAGCAGCGTAGGCTCGAACATAGATCCATTTCGGCCTCCGCCGCACAGAAGAGTGGAACCCGCCCTTATCGCGCCCTCGACAACACTCTCTAGCCTGCTAGCCTCTCTCTCTGCTATCATAGGGCCTATGAATGTATTCTCGTCCTTCGGATCACCCATACGCAAGGACTTCACCTTTGCGACTAGAGCATTCACTACCTGACTCAGAGAAATACCGATCATCTCCTCCGGCGGTAGCCTCCCCCACCTTATCGTATATGTCCTTTCGAACATAAAGCCTCTGTGTAGATATACAACTCTGTCCACTTTGATAGAAGGCCCCAAAAGCTATGCGATCCATGAGGTACGCTAGCCCTTCATGTGGTATACAGTCTACTATACCAGCAGCATTACCGCCAAGCTCAAGCACTACCCCTTTCTTGCCAGCCTAACACATAGAGCACACCTGTCCAAGGCTAAACACAGAAAACTACCCTCGACTTCATATCCCATCCAACACTTGGACTGCCAGTAAACGAGAGCAACTTGAATCGGTCGTCAGTCGTAAGAGGGTCTCCATCTAGAGGGCATCACCATCTCCCAAGTTCGCTGCATCTCACACTACTACTACCTTGCCTCGAGCAGGGTATTATAGAGAAGGCCTCTTTGGGAAGGTCCGAGCACTCAGCAAGAACCTCGCCTATTATCAATGAGCCCAACGGAGTGGCACTGGCCGGCTTCAGTACAAATGGACACCCAACAGCAATCGCAGGAGCTATCTTATGAGCGGCGAGGTTGAGAGGGAAATTAAATGGCGTAATCATGGACACGGCGCCTTTGGGGACTCGCTTATAGATTTGCTGGAGGCCTCGATATCTCTCGGAAATCTCCATGCTACTCCACTCGCCAGACATCCGAGTCGTCTCCTCAGCAGCAGCGGTGAAGGTGTCGATGAGGCGCAAAACCTGCTCGAAAAGTGAGTGCTTGTATCCACGAGGTATCCTTTCCGAGTGAAGGACTAGGTTCTACCACAACACTATCAATGGATTACGACTATTCAAATGGGCAGATCAAAAGCTGTCAATCGAAAGCAGGGTTTGCCCTTTGGGCGGGCAAGCGTCAAAATTTCGCGGAAAGGAAATTTTATCACGGAAAATTTCGGAAACGGTGGAAATAGAAATTTCCGTATAAATCTCGCACGCCATGCGGTTGCGCGAGACATGCGATCAGCCAGGTATGCCCACCGGACCCAACGTATGCCACTTCCGGGCCCAACGTATGTCATGCCAAATAGGGTGGTTTGAACCAGAGAAATCGCGGCCCTTCAGCCCGCTATAGTAGCCATGTCATCTTAGGGTGTTATACGAGTCTGGCCGAGTTCTGCTTCAGTTTGTATCCTAGGTAACTGAGTCTACTGTTCTGGGTCGAACGTGAGCAAAAGCTTGGGCTCTTAGAGGGGAAATGAGATACTAGGCCTTTTCGGAGAAGGGGCGGAGCTCGGCATCCGGGTTCGATTCCCATGCCTGGCGTTTTTCTGCAAAAATTGGTTTTTTGCACGGAAATCTACATGGTCCGGGCGGAACCCTAATTTCGTATTTTTTCTAGTATCCCCAGAGCGAGAGCTATCGAATGGTGTATAGCATGTGATCATAACCTCTCTAGATCGAGCTGGATAATTTGTACGCACGCACGCACGCACGCACAAAGTGTTAGTAAAGTGAGAGAATACGCTCCGCTCGCTTCGCTCGCTCCGCAATTTCATCTCGTTTTTCATCCACCATAATCATTCTGAATTACAAGAGAAAGTGATCGATGTCTACGTCCTATGGCCCATAGGGCCCAAACCCATAGGCTATGGGTCTCCACCTCGGATACCGTCCATCATGCTGGGGCTCAGCAGCTTATCCAAAGTGACGCAAATTCGTGCGAGTTACAGCTAACGTGTGAATGCGAAGATTACCGCCGAAAATGTACTCGATAGAACGCAAGATATGGTGGACTTAGTCCACTGGACTACAGCCAAGTAGGTCGAATCGACCTGGTCGACAGCGCCAACCGTGAAAATAACTGGAGCTACGCCGACACTATTCGAATCTCGAGAGAGAGACGCAAGATTGCAAGATAGTTGGAGAATCGCTAACTCTTTGAGAGCTCACGCGCACGCCCACCTGATCGATATCTGAGGGAACCCGCAAGATGTATTCATAGTGACCAGTAGACACCTGCGAAAGCCTTCACTAGCTTT